TGACAATGTTGAAAACATCTTCTTTACAGCAGCTTTGCTCAGTGTTATGCATTCTCCATCAAGTCCATACAATTCCAACACAAGGAAATATGGTTTGGTAGTTGTATTTACACCAAATACAAATGGCAAGCCTTAGAGAAGAGAGAAAACAATTTATTTTGTAAATCATTTTATACCACCCCTCGGAAAGAAATTGAACACAATGAACCAATCATCATCAAATTATTTAATCCTGGATGATGTCACATTAGAACATATTTGATAAAACAAAGTACTGAAAGTAGCATTCCTGGGGGTACAAGCCAGCTTGATGTGTTTAAAAACAATTTAAAATGTGGCCTACTGCAGCTCAATTAATTTAGCCGAGGAGTGGTGGTAAACAAGATAATGAAACAGAATATACCAGGTGATCTCGAAACGCAGCTGAAAAGGCCTGGCACTAGTTGTAAAATAGAAATCCATTTCTGGTTTAGAACTACTCAATATCTCTTTAACGATATTAAATTGTTATCTCAAATTTTTGGCAGACATTCATTTCCCTGTGCAAGTCACAGGCACAAAGTTTCAAACAGTTTCGCAAAAGAATCAGGGCATGACAAGTGATTAAAGGTACGAAACTGGATTTCTATTCTGTTGCTAGCCCCAGTCCTTTTGCTCACCGTCAGATCACCTGGAATTATTGGCAATTGGGCAATTGTTAGAAAATTTGAAAAATTGCCTACAGTAGACAAACAAAATTGTGTCATTCCAGAAAACATCCATACCACCTCCACGGAGGAAATAGGAAGTTAACCCCCCTACCTCCTTCGGATGTCCTAATACATTTACTATTATCAGGAACAATTTTTTCTCCCCTCCCCCTCCGGACGGCAGAAATTTCCTCCGTGGGGGGAGTATGGATCTTTTCTGGAATGACCCATTACTGCAAATGGCCCAATATTGGATTTTTGTTGGCAAAATGGCCTGCCAAATCTATTATTTGTATTAGGTATGGAAATTTCACTCCTCCTGTACCTCCTTTGACAAAGGCTGGGGCAGTAAATCCAACCTGGATTAAACCTGGATTAATAAAATGACAATATAATATATTTCGAATGAGTGTTCCAAAATTACCGGTACCTGGATGGTCAAATCTCATAATCATTTTTGCTTCACGTTCCACATCAGAATATCTTGAATGCGACTTAAAGTACTTGACAGCCACTATTTGTCCCCTGTAGATTTTCTTTTTGCACTTTCCAAATACACCCTCACCAATTTTCGTTTTCCTATCTTCTACATCTTCCAAACTATGTGGTTGAATCTGATGCATCAGGCTACAATTTTTAAATAGTAAACTCATATGAAACTAAAAAATTTGCTTTATATTATGGCCAGAAGAGTAGCTGAGTCATGTTATGGTTGAACTACTCTATTTAATAACTGACATGTACATTACATATACACTCAAACAAAAACTGCTTGACAATACCAGGAATGAGAATAAAAACTTACAATAAACATAAATGCATGTGGCAAGTATCTTGTGTCAGTAAAATATTGATTCCACTTTATTCCCAATTTATACATTCAATATTGGTGAAATGCTTCAGACTATCTACTTTTGGTTGAAAACAACTTTGTTTTTGATTGGTTGCAATCCTACACATAATTTTTGATATGGTGCAGGTACATAATTATTATGAAGCCAAGTTTACAAAATATATTTGCCACACAAGCAATGAAGCAAAGGTGGTTTGTATGGACAAAAAATAGATGGCAACACTATACCAACTCTAGAGGAAGGTTCTTTCTGCAGCCTGTGGTTAACTGGTTAAGAGAAAATATCCAATATTCAAGAGATTCAGACAAGTTTTCAAGAGATTCAAATGTTTTAAAAAATACAGTACTACTGTATAGTGGGACTTCTAAACAATAACTCCACAACTAAATGTGATTGACTTCTCAGATACGATTGGCTTCTCAGAGAACTGCTATTTTACTAATGTTGAATGGTTTCTGCTTGGCAAAATTATTCTATCAATTATCAAAATATGTCAACACAAATACTTGGTTTCTTTGTAGTACTCCTCTGTGAAAATTTTTATGGGTGCTGAAGCGTCCCAATACACGCTTCCGCATAGTATGGCACCTTAGCTATAGAGCCTTGTTTTCATGATTGAGATGTGGCCTTTAACTGATGTCAGCTGTTACACAAAAACGAGGCTCTATAGACAAAGTGACATACTTTCCAGAAGGGTGTATTCAAGAGTATGCGCTTTAGAAACTACAATCCGGAAGACTTCCGATGTCTTCTGGATTGTCTATGGTGTATCCCAGGGCCTATGAAGATTGTGCGCAGCTGAGAGACCCTAGGAACGAGGATGGTACAGACTCATACAGTATATGAACTATGATGGATTGCCATTGGCCTAATGGTCAATTGGAATCCACCCCCGGGACAGGGCAGAGAACGGGAGAATGGCCATGGATCAACACGGTTTTAATGCACCATTTCCCCCAGGGTACTGGGTAAATAACAAGTCAATTTATTAGCCGGGGGGACTTTAACACGCAGCTGATATGAAAGTGGACTGGAATGAGTTTATCCTTGTGGCAACATGGCGGAATCTTCGAAATCAGAGAATTGTTTCCTCAAAGTTTTTCTTAAAAGAAAAGGGAATATATTTTCACTTTTTATATATTCCTGATGACTGCAAGATACTCGAAACTTAGATTATTCAGTATCTTTTGATGTGGATGAAAGATTAAGATCAAGAATTGCCTTCATATGTTGTGAACATTTTATACTTAAACGATTTCCTATTTCCCAAGTCATAAAAATTTGCAAAGTGCCGGGGCCATAGGCAGTAACTTTAATAGTCAATATTCTCCCGGTAGCGGGGAAATTACCAAACTTTAACATTGTCAAAATGTTAATTTCCCCGCCCTATCCCGGGGGCCGGGGGGGCCGGAGTTTCAATTGACTAGTGCATAAATAAACTGCAAACACTGAAACATTTTATACTGACGAAGTATTAATGCACTGACAGTCGCCTTGATCATAATGGGCCATTACATTTTTAAACCAAACCCCCCCTATTGAGGACATCCATTTTTTGGTCCCCCCTCCCCTGGAATTTCTACATTTTTTAAGCGAATTTTTTTCCTCCCCCGTGGAATTTCCGCAGATTTTTATTGAATTTTAGCCATCCCCATGGAATTTCCGCAAATTTCTTATGAACTTTTAACCCATCCCATGGAAATTCCTTGACAGTTTTTGACAGGGACACCGGAAGATCGATAATTGGGGGGGCAGATATTCATATATTCGTGTTCTGCCCAATTAATTTCTTTTGAAATCGATTGTTTTTACAGTCTGTGAACACGAATATATGAATATCTGCCCCCCCCAATTATCGATCTTCCGGCGTCCCTGGTTTTTGATCTAGCCAGTGGAAATTCCATATTGATTCTTTGATTAGTAGCTATCCCTTGGAAAATTCCTTGCTGATTTTGATCCTATCCTTTGGAATTTCTTTTCTATTGTTGACCCTCCCATGGAAATTCCATACGTTTTACTCATTTTTCTTACCTACCCTTTGGAATTTCCGCAGATTTGCTTTAAAATTTGGACCCTCCCATGGAAATTCCTTCATTTTTGGTTCACTTTTGCAGGGGGCCATTGGAAATTCCACATGTCCTCAATAGGGGGGGGGGGTGCAGATAAAAAATGCAATGGCCCAATAGGGACATCAGGACATGCAGTATTCAATATTAATAGAGAATTATATATTATTGAATATTTGGGAAAGGATTACTTATTCACTTACGAAACATTGTTACTTCTGCCCAATCTTTCTTCCTTCCACTTCTTCCAGAAAACAACTGCTTTCTTCCAATTATTTTCTGCACGCAAAGACGCTTCCCTGATTTCGGCAGCTCGAGCTTCGTCGACCTGCTTCGTTACTCGCGCCACAAGATTTAACTTCTTTCGCTTCTTTGATATTTTGTTTACTTCTTTACGCTTTCTCTTTCTTCTTTCGCGTTTCTTGAGCCGTATCTCGTCACTCGTATTTGGTCGCGAAAGTCGACATTGTTTAGCGTTCCTGTTCTGTGCTGTTGGCGCTGGGATTTCTCCCAGATTGTTGCACATCCCACTGTTAGTAAGTGCGCCACTCACTGTGTGGAAGACCATGCTAGAATGCGCCATTCCGGCCGGTTTTGCACAAGCTCTCAACCACCAGACAGTTCAGAACGCAAACAACGCGGGAAACAGATAAAATTGCGATCTTTCGTTGATCTTTTCGAGGATATTTTGCTGCTAGCTTTAGCCGCAGTAAAGACCACTTTTAAAATGTCGAAAGTTTTGGCGGGTGATAGCGCGGTGTAAAAGCTTGTGTTTCCATTGTGATGAGTATTTTTCCTTCGACACAGCACGTATTAACGGCATGTAGCCATGCATAAAATCTCCTGCAATTTACCGTTTTCTTATAAACCCTAGAGTATATGCTATTCTTCTTTCGTCTTTTAGTGGTGTATTGGTGTAATTTCTTTTGGTGCAAGGTGTGATAAAAATATTTTTTCAAACGCTAATCAATAGTTGAAACATTGCACTAATTCGATAGTGGAAACACTGAGTGGATCAGTGGAAAACCACTGTAAACTGATATGGTGATATGGCCCCGTCTGTCTCCACTGGTGTTCTCTGCAAATACAGTCAAAAGATTCAAAAATCAAGTGTAATATGGGTCTCTTTTTTTATTTTTTTACAAAGAATTAGATATTAGTAATAAAAGATGATGTTAGGTTAGCCTGAAGACCAACTATACCAACTATCTGGTTGCAACAATTGAACAGATGTTTTGCTGCTGCGTCAAGGGTCTCCCCCACAGTAAGAAAATTGTATATACTGATACTGTATATTGCCGCTCAAAAGATTCATATTTCAAAAGCTGAAACGGTTTTGCTTGTGAAACTCTGCGTTTCTTTACACCATAAAAAACTAGTGTTTCTATATTCTGTCGATTAAACAATGAGCGTCGCAATGTCGGATCATTATGTGTTACTGCTGGAGAAAGTTGTGGAAGAAAATAAAGCTCTTCGGGAGCAAATGAAGCAGATGGCGGACAACGATAAGCGAATACTAGGCGACCTCCACAAGAAGATTGATTGTCTTCAGTCGCAAAACTCGTCAAGACGTGCACGACAGACAGGGCCATCTTTACGAATTCCAAAACTCTGCAAGGTATGTATATGTATTACGTGCTTATTAAATATTTATATCCTCTGCAGTATGTGCATTAATGAATATTCGAAGCCGATATTTTTCACGTTTTGAGGTATTTATTTTGTGTAACTTTATTCTATATTGGCATTTTATTCTATGTTGAGACTTTATAAGGAACATAACGAGGTAATATTTATATTTTGGGATATTCAACGGAAAGTGGAAAGTGCCGAATATATATGCGTTATTTATATTAGTCACTGTTTTATATTTTTGCGCCAAAAGTGTCATGCTGTGAAGGTATTTCGTCACCTGATTGGTTTATTTCAATTACACTTTTATCTTTATAGCATTTCCCAAGAGCATATCATTATATAATTTTGGTATAATTACATAGGTGATTATTGGAAATTCTCCACGCTCATTGGTTGTGGTTGAGGTGATTTATATATTACCTATACCATGGATAATAAAATAAATGGATAGGAAACTAGCTGACGTGACCTAATGTTTTTACTGGGATTGATGGTGTGGCTGGGTGCCTCAACCTAGTTGAAAACCAAATTCTCAAAAACGGCATGTTTAGCAATAATACAGCTAAACATTTTAGTCAAAGAGCAAATAAATGTAACCACGCCATTCTACGATTCTACTCTAAGTATTCCCAGTCAATTTTAGTAAATATTTCAAG